CCCCAAAACCCCAAAACCCCAAAACCCCAAAACCCCAAAACCCCAATTTGAAGTTATTAGATTGAATTACATCTATTAGGGGGGTTATGAGAGGGCAGAAGGCTCTCAGGTCGAGGGAGCAAGTCTTTATGCTTGTCTTGGAATAAGGGGCTGTAGATCTTTGGGAGATTTCTGGTGGATTTTAGCAGTTGGTCCCATAAGAGGCTTGAAAAGGCTGGGTATTCGTTCAATGGTTCGTCTGAAAGTTGAAATAAACAAGATTCAGCTTTGAAAATAAGAAAATTAAATTTTTCTGAGAAAGAATCTTTATTAATAGAGTTTTGAAAATAACTTACAGCTTTCTAATTGATACTTCTGCTTCACTTTTTCCAGAGAAACTGGAGGGTCTAAATAAATTTAGGGTGTTTATAAATAGAGCTACATGTTAAGATACCCACCTTCAAACAAAAATTGTCCTAAAAGACGACTCTTTCCTTTTTCTGAAACAGCTACATAAACCTTTTCTCTTAGCTGATTAGGATGGGATGTATATTTTCCTTTCCTCATCACTAGAGGAACAATTAGCTTCATCAGCTTTCTATCTTCCAAGAATGTCTTATAAGCGTTCTTGTAAGCCTTGAGGCCTTGCTTATGGTTTTCCACACAGCTATCTATCTTCTCAGTAATAATAGATTTAAGCATCTGAGCGAGTTTATCACACTCATCTTCATCGATATCCAAGAAGGAGCCAACCTGCATATTGATATCATCCATCAACTTGGAGAATTCCTCTAAGCTGTTATTTCAACTTCTGAGAGTCCCTCATCTTCTTAGAAATCTCAGGCTTATCTTTCAAGTTCACTAGTTTGTGTCCGGTGTGAATACCATGAGTGATACATTCAGTGCAAATGAGATTATCACATGAAAGGCAGAACAGAATTCCTTCATTTGAGTGACTAGGACACTTTGGATCGTATCCTAAATTTTTCTCATTCTGACATATAGTCTCTCTCAGTTCATTTGCAAGCTTATTTTTCACCAGATCTCTATTAAAGACCCTATTTCTACAGAAGGGGCACTTGCTTTCCTTCTCTAGCATACTTTTCCATCACTCCTTGCAGGCATACTCAGATCAGTGCTTACATATCATCAGTCCTTCATGGTTACTGGAGTAACAAATCACTCAGGTCAGTAAATTCCTTTCAGGAAGACCCTCGCCGACCGAGCTGATCTCTTCGTCATCCACTTTGAAGGCTTCTTCTGTCTTTCTCTTCCTGCCAGAATCTAGAGCTCTTGTGGGGACCTTACCTTTCTTAATGGCTCTGAGCATCTCGAAGCTGTCACTATCGTTGACGATTACTTCTCGGTCAGGCATCCTTGACCGTAAGATGTTGTCACGCTCAGGAATAACTATGGGGTTGGTAAAGGAGACGTACAGAAGTCGGGAAGTTCTTCGTCTGAATCGAAGAAGCTGAGGTTTCGCATTCTGTCCATTTTCTTTTTGTTTGGGAAATTTTACAATTGGAACGTGAGAGATGGGGTTTTGGGGTTTTGGGGTTTTGGGGTTTTGGGG